TCCCATCCCCTCTGCCCCAGATTCCTCTGAAGAGCTGATTGGGGGAATGAGCGAAAGCACTCCTGGAAGCATCCACCTCTCATACCTTGTGTCCTATGGATAAAAGAATCCTGGACGCACTTCACAGAGCTTACATCACAGGGATATAAGAGACAACCTCACTGTGCTCTGCTCACTCGTTCAATTTCGCGTGTTATTCAACATTCTAGCTCCACATTCGTTTATTTTCTTCAAATGTTTTTTTCTCTCTTTGGTACTTGGTTCTGTTTTCTGATTTCTTTTCCCTTTTATTTTCAGTAGGTACTAGGTTCAAAATTTTCATATTGTGGCGGTGAAAGTCGTTGTTGCTAATAGAACTAAGATAGGAAGGTCTCACTGGCGACTATGAGAAAATCAAATAAAATAAAAATATAGGTAGCTCTCCATAAACGTGGCCTCTGCCCTCACTACCGTCTTCACCCCAATAGGTTGCCCGGTCATTATATCTGAATCTAGACTAAAGGTTGCCTCAAATACAGCTACAATGACTGGGGTTTCTATTAGGGTGAGAAGAGGGTAGCACTTTTCACAAAGAGTCCCAACTAAATCCGGGCCTAATTGTATCGTGAAGACTTGTCCTGGACTCCCTACGAGTGAATTTTCCCCACAATGGCGGGTGCCACAATGGCCTGAATTCCATTCAATACTATGAATGAAACCGACTGGTATTGAGAAAAGCGGGCCACAAAGAGGGAACATAAGACATCTCGAAATAAATGCTTCCAGTTGATTGTGTTGATTACGATTTGTGTCCTTTTGTCTTCATCTAAGCCAACAATTAGGGTCTAGAGGACGCCGTTCTTGCGTTGCCTTGCCATTCATATGCAACAAAGGCCCCCCCGCCGGTCCTATTCAACTTCAACTAACACAGACTGCCAACCTTACACGATCGTCCGAATCCCACGATGGCGCTTTCGCACGTAAGTATTTGACAGTCTCGTGTCTTGGCCTTGATTGAGTATGAGGTAACCTCACCAAGCCCTGGACTGGTGAGTGCCCGAAACACATCGGGAGATCCCCAAGTCTTACCACTTCTTCTCCTCGTTTCGACCATCTTCTGTACTTCATCCTCCAACTCCGGTACCTGTTTGTTTACCTTGCCATTACACGATTTAAATGTCGTCTTCTCGAAAGAACCATTCTCATCCCCCGATCGTGGGCGCCAGTCATACTATCTACATCTACATCTACATATATCTACATACTACTAAAGGAAACGCCGGGTCTCGTGTGACGCCGGCGCGAGATCCAGTTTCCGGGTTTGGGACCTCGGGTGGCGGGCCCAGGCCGAAAGAAAGAAAAAAACTGAAAATCGAGATCGTTGGGTGTACGAAGAGGCTCGGGCTGAGGAGGCCTGGCGACAGTCTGGCCTACGAACAGGCGTGGGATGGGGAGGCCTGCTTTGAGCCGGCACGGGCTGGGGAGGCTTGCTTTGCGGCCATTGGGTCCGGTCGTTTGCCCTGTCGTCTTGTGGCCACCCGCTGTCGTGCTATGAACTGGCGCGGCCTGCTTTGAACTGGGTTGCGCCTGCCCACTGTCGTGCTGCTTGCTGCCGCTTCGCCTTGCACCCGCCAATGCTTGAGACGCGCGCGCGCGCGCGCGCGCGAGAGAGAGAGAGAGAGAGAGAGAGAGAGAGAGAGAGAGAGAGAG